GTCATCAGCGATTTGGCTTTTAATCGGCGCTTTTCCGTTTCGGGATTCCTATTGCAACCGTTTACTTTTGTTTGGTATACTGAAGAATAAGCCATCCCCGAAAAACGAGGCAAGCTCTTGGCTATGATGAAAGATGTGGAGCCGGCTATGAGCACCCAGAATTCGTTTGGCAGCAGCGGCGGCGAAACAACGAGTGCGGCTGCTGGTGGTACTACTAATACTACTGCTGCTGCTCAGGCCGACGAGTCGCCCCCCACCGAGGAGCCAGAGACGGATAATCCGATGCAGGTGCTGGACCAGATTTTGGGTGCCCATCCGATTCGGTCGTCTTCTGAGGAGCACGACGAGGACGAGAAGAATGCAGACGATGATGCGAGCTCCGATGGCTTCGTGGTGCCAGGGCTCAAGATTTTTGGTGGTGCTACTAAGGGGCGGGGTAGCGAGCACAGGGTGCTGAGAGAGGCGTCTTCGGCGGAAGCTGCCTCATCAACTGCTGCAGGCCCAACTATCCAGGAGATTTTTGAGGAGGAGCCGGCAGTCGAGAAGACCGAGAAGAAGAAGGCGAATATGAAGAAGAACACCGTGGAGAAGCAGGTGTGGGTTTCGGGCTGGACATAACAATAATACCCGAACAAGACCCTAGAGGATGATGACGATGATGATGACGATGATTTTTATTGTGGTTGTTCGTGCTCCTTTTCGTCGTGGTAAAGCTTCGAGTCATCACTGCAAAAAAACAATTCCTAGAGTGCACAGATGCCAAGAGCGAACACAAAGTCGCGAGTTGTTGCATGGTAGTACCACGAGGGATGCTACGATGGTGTATCCTTTCTTGCTTTCGTGCCTCGAGTGTATAAGAATAGAACCCGATGGTCCATCGGAGCCAAATACAACAAGCCTTACTTCGTTTGCAAATATTATTTGGAGAAGGCTGGGGCCAACAAGCGAACAGGGACCAAGAAGTCGACTCCATCGTCGGCTTCGGCGGCCAAGAACAAGAAGCCTGGGCTCATGGATGCCTCTGAGGAGGATTTTCTTCGACGGATTCGAAGCAAGACGAGGCCCGCCAATGAGGATGACAAGGCTACTTTGAGGAAGACCTACAACCAAGCCGTGAAGAAGAAGCCGAGTGAAAAAGAAACCAAGGGTTCAAGCGAGAAGCCGACGAAGGCCAAGAAAGGCAAGCATCCCGACGAGCCGAAGGAGGCACCGAAAAAAAGGCCGGCTGGCATCCTGAAGAGGGGCAAGAGCACTATTTTCGATGATGAGACATTGGCGGGCAACAAGCCAAAACAGCCGATGAAGAAGCAGCGACAGATCGCGGAGGACAGCAGCGGGGTTCTTTGAGCTGAGTTTCAGAATCATGTTTGTTTTGCTGCGGAATCCACTACTCAAGTTGAGTATTTGAGAAACAATATGAAAAGCCACAACCTCGACTATCTTCATATCTAAAACCCAGAAGCTTGTATCTGTATTTCTAGGACCGCAACAGCATTCCTGATTGGGTTTTGCACTTTCTTGCATGTTCGGCAACAACAACAACAACGACATACCTCCAAAAAGATAACCCCCTAAACCCCTAAACCCTTAGTCTTTCCCTACATCATCATCCACATTATTATAGACTGAAGCCCCATTCTTGTTTAACATAGAAAATTCGAGCAAGGCTGTGGATGATCAGCAGGCAAACGATGAGCAGGCTTGGGAAGCCGATGGCAGCCACGAGTGGTGGTCCGGCTCGTGGTGGGACGAGTCCTGGTGCGAGGAGTCTCCCGAGGAGGAGGCCGATGGCTTCGAGGATGACCCCATCCTGGAGGAGGATGGTCGTGCCAACGATGAATACGAGGACAAGGAGAAGAAGGACGGCAAGGGCGAGAGGAATGATGGGGTGGAGCAGCCATCACGATCTGTGCTACGACACCGGGCCGTGACAAGTGCATACAGAAAGGCCTTCGATTTGCACAGGCCGAAAGGCGACCAAAAGAATGATCCCACATTGCTGGCGGCAGCTCGTGGGAAAGCCAAAGAAGCCCATCACGAGGCAGGGAAATGCTTCGATGCAAAGTACCCGAGGAAGTGAGACGAGCACCTGGGGATGAACCGGGGTGGCAGCAACCTCCTGCTGTGGACGATATCGGATGATTTTGGTGGCGGCTTATCACGATTCAACAGTGACCGGTCGTCGCACCACATCCGAGTTTTGATGGCTGACGACAACCACCAGAAGCCCAAAATAGCTATGTGCGATTGAGGGGCTGCTTGAGTGATCAGACATTTAGGAGGTCGGAAACATACATGTCGCAGCTCGAGAGCTTTGGTTTTCGATCATGATCAGCCAGCCAAACATCGAAGTTTGGTCGAAGTTTCGTCGAAACTTCGACTTAGCACAAGCCGCAGTTTGGTCGAAGTTTGGCCGCTGTTTGGTCGCAGTTTAAGTTGTGTAAGTCGAAGTTTCGACTTATCTTTGCACACTTACTCGAGAGGTAACACTATTGATATATCAAAACTTCGACTTAGCCTATCTAAAACTTCGACTTAAACTTCGACTTAGTAAGTCGAAGTTTCGACGAAACTTCGACCAAACTTCCATATACGGTGGTCGTACGGGGTCGAAGTTTCGAAGAAGTTTCGAGTAAAGTTCGGTGTGCCAAATCGGAGTTTCAGCGAAGTTTGTGCAGTGATGATTGTATATGGATGACAATAATGGATGACTTGCCGCCTTCTCCTGCCATCGAAGCTTTTTGAGAGTTGCGACAGGCTTCTTGTTGACTCCCATCCTTGTTCGGCTCCTCCTCTCCTGCTGCACAACAATGATGAAGCGACCCTCGGCTGCTGTTGTTATGATGAAGAAGAGCAAGAAGATTATCATCAAGAAGAACGGCAAGCCCGGCAAGAGTGGTGGCCCAGTCATCAAGAAGAAGCCCGGTGCCGGGCCCACGACATTGAAGGATGCCGTCGATGGCATCAAGAAGTCGTCCATGGACAAGGACAACATGTGGGACGACAAGTCGGCCTCAGAGGACAACGGTGCGGGCTCATCCACGGACTGCAAGAGAGACAAAGGGAAATCAGAGAAGTTCACGAAGATGAAATTGGCAGGGAGTTTGCCACCGTACGTGGTGGACTTGTACGACAATGCTGCCAACCAGAAAGAGTCCCCTCGCCAGTTCCGCACGGAGATTATCAACTCCTTGTTCAAGAGGAACCCCAACGGTGCGGGCTCATCCACGGACTGCAAGAGAGACAAAGGGAAATCAGAGAAGTTCACGAAGATGAAATTGGCAGGGAGTTTGCCACCGTACGTGGTGGACTTGTACGACAATGCTGCCAACCAGAAAGAGTCCCCTCGCCAGTTCCGCACGGAGATTATCAACTCCTTGTTCAAGAGGAACCCCAAGACCGGGCGGTACAGCTTGATTGACAACCAGCCGTTATTTACGGAAGCGAAGCGGGTCTGGGAGAAAAAGTTCGGCACCGATGGCAAGGAGAGCTACACGAAGCTCGTCATGCGAGGACTTTTCTTCGGAAACTCGGAGTCAGTGCCATGTCTCAACAAAGCAATGTTTTTTCTTTTGTTAAAATACACTCGGGGACTACACCCACTGAGGTTTTAGAACTGTATTATTCGCGAAAAGAAACCTGAGCCCTAAACCTTACATCCTTAAACAACCTCGAGCCGAAACCGCTCTGCTTCTGCTACATTCCTAATACACCCACTAAGGTTTTAGAACTGTATTATTCGCGAAAAGAAACCTGAGCCCTAAACCTTACATCCTTAAACAACCTCGAGTCGAAAGCACTCTGCTTCTGCTACATTACTAATACACCCACAAAGGTACTAAAGCTGTATTATTCGCGAAAAGAAACCTAAGCCCTAAACCTTACATCCTTTAACAACCTCGAGCCGAAACCGCTCTGCTTCTGCTACATTCCTAATACACCCACTAAGTTTTAGAACTGTATTATTCGCGAAAAGAAACCTGAGCCCTAAACCTTACATCCTTAAACAACCTCGAGCCGAAAGCATTCTGCTTCTGCTACATTACTAATACACCCACAAAGGTACTAAAGCTGTATTATTCGCGAAAAGAAACCTGAGCCCTAAACCTTACATCCTTTAACAACCTCGAGCCGAAACCGCTCTGCTTCTGCTACATTCCTAATACACCCACTAAGGTTTTAGAACTGTGTTATTCGCGAAAAGAAACCTGATGAGCCCTAAACCTTACATCCTTAAACAACCTCGAGCCGAAAGCATTCTGCTTCTGCTCCATTTGTCGTCATAACAATAATAACAACACCGCAACGATGATGCTAGCCTTAATAAACGAAAACAACCCTTAAACCTTGTTATTCCACCCTTTCTTTATCCCCGAACCAACAACAGCCCTGAAAACTGCAACACCTGAAAAAAACTATCCCTGTGCTGCTGGTGCTGGTCGTTGCTACTGTGGTTGTTGTTGTGATCGCTGTTGCTGCTGTTGTTTGTTGCTGCAGCTGAGGCTATGACTGCAGCAATTGAGGCTGGAGAGGTCACCGAGTTCAAGTCCAAGGACGGAACATGTTTCTACTCGTTCCGCAAAATGACAGCTGGTGTTGAAACCGGACAAGAGAGCAGCCTGGGCTACACGAAGCAGGCCAAGGGCACTCAGCAGCAAGCGGACATCGATTGGAGCATGCCCTACAAGGGTACCGATGGCCTGGTGGTTGAGCCTGGCAAGAAGCTGCCGAAGCCCATGGCGGCCTTCTTGGAGAAGGCGGTGGCCACACAGATCCGCTTGGGTGGCGAGACCATGAGGCTCTTGAAGAAGCTACCCGACATCTTTTGTATAACATGATGTTTGATGTTTACAACACCGCAGGGAAGAATCCTGAACTGTCCCGTGTCGTAGGATAGACAAAAGGGGGTCTTGTTTGCTGATTGCCATGCACAATCCAGGCATGTTATTATCTTCTTGGTCAGAACTACATCACAACCCCTCACTCAAAAGTATCTCTCAAAGTAGCCCTCCAAGTGTCGCTGAGTTCTCGAAACACTTCATCGAAGTTACCCAGGTCTCGTTCAAAGTAGCCCTCCAGGAAACTACTCCACATATCATCCCGCCGTTTCGCTGCCGTCACAACCCATCATCCATCATCACTCCAAGTATCCCTCCAGGCATCCCTCCAAGAAAAGGGTTTTAGGGTTTTGTTTGGGGTGTATTGGAGGTTTTAGGTTTCGGTGTTTTGAGGTTTGTGGGTTTAGCCCTATTACTAATAAAGCTCGCGACAATCTTCCAAATTATGCTTGACTGAGGCTTCCTCAGGAGTCGTCGGACGTGTATGACAAGCTCAAGAAGGCCTACGTTGAGAGCCAGAAGATGCTCGGCGAATGCCGCCATATCCTGGCCTGGAAGGAGATGCCTGATTCGCAACCTGTTTCAAAAGACAATTTCGACAAGTTCATGACATTTGTCGCCAAGCAGACGTTGGCCCACCACGAGTTGCTCGCAAACGGCAAAGCCGTTGTCAAGGCCACAAAGTGAGATCGCGATCTTCGTATGTCGAGCCGTGTCGTGGATGATTCTCTGGAGTGCTGGCTACTTCCGGCTTGTTTTCAAAGCCTTACACAGGACTTATAATGGGTTTAGATTTATTGGGTCGGGGCTCCTGGGGCAACCAATTATTATTTGACAGCTAGCTGCACAAGGGGGGGGGTCGTCCATGACGATTTTGGGCTTTCTCTGATCTCGCACTCGTGCTTTCGTGAGTTGGACAAAAAAAGCGCGAACAGAGACAGTGCCGAAGCTTATTATGGCGAAAACTTCACCAACAACTACTATATAAGAAGCTTTCTATATATTCATATTCAGAGAGGGGTTCTTGAGTGCAGGATTAGTATTATGATTGGAATAGCTATCATAATAATCGTGTCAGGCATAAAATTACACTATCCAGAAGAAGAATGCAAACAAAGAGGGATTCCTGGAGTGTATAAACATAATAATCAGAACGAGAATCAGAGGTAGTATCATAAATATGCGAGGATGATCCTTCTCAGTGCAATTCCGAAGATGCCCTTTGCCGATGCTCAGGCTTTGTTGACGACACTGAATAAAGTAGCCATAAAAAAAAGTTCGCCGACAAAACCCTATCCCGAAATGAACAGGCATCAACAAAGATCCCCGACGAGACCCCATCCCCAGCGACCTTGATGTCGAGTGATACTGTTATTTATTGCAGCAGTTATTGGTCTTATTATTCGATAAAACATGCGACTACTATCTGCTACGACTATATACAGCACAAATGAGATTACTACGTGCCACGAAAATGTCCTAGGACCGGCAGGTGGTGTGTAGGAGTGATGGCTGGCAGCGGTTTTTCTGGTCACCAGAAGAAGAGGCATTCATCCCCGGCAGCAGCATCGTCAGGAGGAGCGAAAAGACTCCGAGGTGGTATCCGGCAAAGACTACGAGCAGCTGGAGCTTATGTGCCTGCTTCATATGAGGAGGGCATCGCAACCACCACCGATGATGATGATGATGATTTTGTTCCTCGCGGTGGGGAGCTGCCGCCCTCGGATGCAGATACGAGGACCAAAGCTGTGAGCCCCAACTCTCGTTTGGGCCGGAAGCTTTTGGAGTTGTTCTGCTGGGGCGATATGAGCCCACAGCTTTTACAGAGCCTTGCTGAAGCCGCAAGGCAAGATATCCACTCAACTTTGCAGGAGCACGGTGAGGAGCCGACCTCATCCACTTCCCAGTGCCTTCGAGATATTACACAACTGGCTAGCATAGGAGCATAGGCTCCTATGGGAAGTTCAGCAACAAGTGCTACAGCGACCTTATGAGGCGGGTGGAGCCGAATATTGCCGTCGCCGAAACATACAAAGCCAAGCTCCACTTTGCAAACCCCGCAGGTGAACATACACAAGAGGTATTGTTACCTCATGAGCTGTTCGCTTCAATGTTCGAGCATGAGAATGAGGCTTTCTTTCGCAATGTAGCCAGCGACGAGGGTACACGTACAAAGTTCTGGGATCGCATGCGATCTCACTCCCACCCGGCTTGGGAAAATCACCCGCTGCTGCATCGCAACATCAAAAAGGCGATTCCTATTTCGGTTCACGGCGACGAGGTTCCCATCGCTGGGATTGGAAAGCAGTGGTCCAAGAAGCTCGTCAACGTGTCATGGGCAAGCTTGCTGGGCAAGACTGAAACGAAGTCGACACAGTTCTGGTCGATGGGACTGGTAGAGAAAACCGATGTTAAGAATGGCCCGTATGCCACTATGCGAAACCTCTGGAAGATTTTGGCATGGTCATTTACTGCTCTCTGGTCTGGGCTATGGCCGTTGACCGACCACGAAGGCAACAGGCACAGAAGACAAAATTCGTATGTTTGATTTGTTCCTTCATTCTTATTGATAATCGCCCTGCCACCTTGCCTGATCCCAACTAGAGGTTTTCGTCATGTGAATATTTATAATATTCTCAACCACTCTCTCTCTCTCTCTCTCTCTCTCTCTCTCTCTCTCTCTCTCTCTCTCTCTCTCTCTCTCTCTCTCTCTCTCTCTCTCTCTCTCTCTCTCTCTCTCTCGCTCTCTCGCTCTGCCTTCATTTTGAAGTTCAAAGCAGTCGCGACATGAGGTTTCCCGAAGGCTCGATCCAACTCGAGCGAGCTGGAACACCACTAGCTGGTGGGTTTTTTTGAGTGGTTTGGTCGCTGATTGGCGATTTAGATTATTTTACACAGTTTCTGCAGCTACCAAACTACAACAACAAGAGCATGCCGTGCAGCATGTGCCGGACGACGTTGAGTGGACTTACGACTTGGAGCAACTTTCAGGTTGGGGCTGCATGGCGGGGAACGATGTGGCGACCAGATGCCTGGCATGCTTGGGCTGGACGAAGCCGCAACCCTATATTTTCAATTCCTGGTGTGTCTGCATGCAACATTTGTGCAGACTATATGCACTGTAAGTTCTTGGGGACGGATGCCGTCCAATTCGGTTCTGTGATGTCTTTCCTTGTCTTCGAGGTCATGAATGAAGGAAGTCCAGAAGACAACTTAGCAGCCTGTTGGCGATTCATTCGCGAGTATTATCGGATGCATCAAACAGCTGTGAGGTTCAGATCGATGAGCCGTTTATCCATGTTCGTGCGAAAAACCGGAGGGCCAAAGCTCCGAGGAAAAGCAGGCGAACTGCGATATTTTGGGGAGGTGCTGTTGGCACTATGGACAACATATTGCAGTAATGAGCTGGAGCTTCACAAGAAGATCACACTTCTCTTGAAAAGTAACGTTTTCATGGAAAGGAAGCTGACGGAGACGAAGGGCCAGACTTCGATGGAGGACGAGGATGCTGATGAGTTTAATCAAGCATGCTCCGATATGCTGGTACTTCAGAGTGATCTTGCAAGGCAATTTGCAGAGCAGGGCAAACTGTACTTCACTCTAACTTCGAAGGCACACCAGCTACAGCATGCCTGTCTGCTCGCATCTGTCTTAAATCCCAGAACCGTCCCTTGTCGGCAGACGAGCATCATAATAACAAGCATTGTCACCTTTTTCAAGCATAATTACAATAAGAACATGTGCTAAAACACGTGGAAGTGAAACCTTGAGGTATGGGCATTTGTCGGCGAGGACCTCCAACAGAAGGTGCAGCGACTCGCTTCCATGTCCCTGAAGGGGAATGTTGGGCCTTATGCTGTCAACAAGATGCTCAGACGTTACCGGTTGGCCCTGAGCATGATCTGGCGAGATCAAAGGACGAATGCCTAAGGCATTCTTCTGGCGAGATCAGAGGACGAATGCCTAAGGCATTTTCGTGAGCACGAGGCTTGATCGGAGCAAAAAGAAGAACACTGGAAGGATCTGTAGAAAGCATTGTAGGGTTGGGGCTTTGGGATTTATCCTAAGGTTGTGGCTTTCGCCAGGGTTTGTGAAGTCGAGTGCTAGCGATTGTTGGGGTTGGAACAGCCAACAACAACTCCAACGACAACAACACCAGCACATCCTCTCCTGGTTGCTTTCTTCAACAGTACTTTTTGCTGCCCTCTCAGCAACCCTCTTGCAACCCTCCTCACTCGAAGTAGCCCTCTTGTAGCCCTCACTCGAAGCAGCCCTCTCAGCAACCCTCTTGCAACCCTCCTCACTCGAAGTAGCCCTCTTGTAGCCCTCCTCACTCGAAGCAGCCCTCTTCTAGCCCTTCGTGAAGAAGAAGCTGTAATATGACGGTACTACTACTTCGCTGAGGGATACTTGGAGTGAAAACTTTGCATGGCCGACCGAAGCACAGCTACTCGGACTCTCGTTTCTTGAGGAAGAATCGTTGTGTTGCTGTGGACTGGCTTTCCTGTTGAAAAAATGGTAACAAAAGTGATCGCAACACACCACAGAAAAATCTGAAGAATTCCCTTTCTTCCTGGTAGTAAGATCAGACAAAAAGAAACCTTGAGAAGGATCGCAGCACACCAGAAAGATCTGAAGAGTTATCTTCCCTGCTAAAATCAGCAGACAAAAAAAGAAACCTTGAGAATGATCGCAGCACACCAGAAAGATCTGAAGAATTACTTTTCCTGCTAAGATCAGACAAAAAACCTTGAGAATGATCGCAGCACAACACCAGAAAGATCTGAAGAATTACCTTTCCTGCTAAGATGAGACAAAAAAAGAGACTTTGAGAAGGATCGCAGCACACCAGAAAGATCTGAAGAATTACCTTTCTTCCAGCTGCCAAGATCAGACAAAAAGAGACCTTGAGAAGGATCGCAGCACACCAGAAAGATCTGAAGAATTACTTTTCCTGCTAAGATCAGACAAAAAACCTTGAGAATGATCGCAGCACAACACCAGAAAGATCTGAAGAATTACCTTTCCTGCTAAGATGAGACAAAAAAAGAGACTTTGAGAAGGATCGCAGCACACCAGAAAGATCTGAAGAATTACCTTTCTTCCAGCTGCCAAGATCAGACAAAAAGAGACCTTGAGAAGGATCGCAGCACACCAGAAAGATCTGAAGAATTACTTTTCCTGCTAAGATCAGACAAAAAACCTTGAGAATGATCGCAGCACAACACCAGAAAGATCTGAAGAATTACCTTTCCTGCTAAGATGAGACAAAAAAAAGAGACTTTGAGAAGGATCGCAGCACACCAGAAAGATCTGAAGAATTACCTTTCCTGCTAAGATCAGACAAAAAGAAACCGAATGATCGCAGCACAGCAGAAACATCTGAAGAATTACCTTTCGTTTAGGGTTTAGGGCTGAGGGGTTTAGGGTCTAAGATCAGACAAAAAGAAAACCTTGAGAATGATCGCAGCTCACCAGAAACATCTGAAGAATTGCCTGTCAAGTTAATAATAAGATCAGACAAATCCTGGAAAATGCAACCCGAAGTTTGCCCGAAGTTTGGTCGAAGTTTGCTCTTGGGCAACCCGAAGTTTGGTCGAAGTTTGCTGTGGGGTGTTTGTGCCGGGAACCCGAAGTTTGGTCGAACTTTCCGCCGGCCAGAAACTAACTATAGTTAGTTTCCGGGGGGAAAAAACTAACTATAATGGTTAGTTTATGGTGGCGCCGACAAAAACTAACTATAGACAGATTTTTGTCTATAATAGTTAGTTTATGTCTCTCGTTCACAACCTACGAAAACTAACTATAGACAAAAAAAATAAGATATAGTGTAGACAAAAAAAATTTAACTATATAGTTAGTTTTTCGGCTCGCGGCAAAAAACAGTCTAGGATAGTCTTAGGGGACAAGGCGGAGGACGCGCTTATGGCAGGCGCGAGTGGCAGAGGAGCGCGACGAAGCGAAGAGGTGCTGCCGAGAACCCCTGCGAGCCCGCCGTCTACGAAAGCACCTACGATACAGAGTCTTCGAGAGCGTCAGCTTCGCAGACTTTGTCGTCGCCTGGCGGAACTACGACAGCGCCCGACGGAGAAGCTCGCGACCAGAGTCCGCCGCAGTGTGCAGGACCTGGGCTTCTCAAGGGACCTTGCTTTGGAGGAGGTCGAGAGTGTGGCCCACAAGGAGGCGGAGACGCTCAGTGAAGAGGCGTCCAAGGCTCGCTTGCACAAGTGGCGAGCAGACGTGGCGGAGGACAAGTCCAAGCTGGAGAGGTGGATCAAGCAGACGTGGGACGCGGGCCCTGTGGCGAAGGACGTGACTTCCAGTCCTCACCCGGAACAAAGACTTGCTGAAGAGGCGGCCATCTGGAGGAGGCAGTGGACGCAGGAGGTGCCTGACATTCGGCTCATGGAGGACGCTTGCGCGCATCTTGGGCCGGATAGAACGCCTCTACCAGACGACACTGTGCAGTTGGTGGGCGACGACGTGAGGCGACGACTGCAACAGTCTAAGCGGAAGGCCAGTGGCGCGGACGCGTGGGCACCCAGTTCTCTGTTGTTACTTCCTGCTGGCTTCTTCGACGAGGTGGCGGCGTTGTGGAACTGCTCACTGCGCGAAGGTCAGCTGCCTCGCGGGTGGCTTGTCGTTCGGGTAGTCTTGCTGCCCAAAGGAGGAGGAGAGTATCGGCCCATCAGTCTGGCGTCGGTGCTGTGGCGCTCTTGCGCGGGCGCTGCGTCGCAGAGGCTACGCACCTGGGTGCAGACTTGGGCTCCTGAGGAGCTTACAGGCGGGATTCCCGGCAGAGGCATGGCGGAGGCGCACGACTTGTTGGGCGACACGCTGGAGTCCAGGCCGGTCACGGGCTGTAAGGCGGACGTTCGGCGCTGTTTCGACAGCGTGTCGCCCGAAGCCGCGCTGAGAGCATGGCGCTTTCTAGGAGCCCCTGAGGCCATTGTGCGGTTGCTCACAGCTTTCTACGCAGAACAGCAACGCTGGGTGACGTACGGAGGCCATTGGGAGGAGGAGTCCATCAGACCAAGCACCGGTCTTTTGCAAGGATGTCCATTATCACCGGGACTTCTCAACGGAGTCATGGTGATCTGGCTAGGCCATGTCCGCAAGGAAGTGCCGGCTTTAGGAGTAGCCCTTTACCTGGACGACCGCGCTCTGTGGTCCGCAAAGCAGGCGCGGGAGGCCCCTTTGGAACTTCAACGGGCGGTGGAGGCGGGAGCAGTCGTGGACAAAGCGGCGGGGCTGCAACCTCACCCAGGCAAGGCGGCTTCCTTTTCTACCACGGCTGAAGGCAGGGCGGCGCTTCGTCACCACCCTGAGTTGGGAGAGGTTCTCACGGAGTTCCCTTTGCTTGGAGTCCAGTACCTGTTGGGTTCACGCAAGCGTTGCAACACGGCGGAGGAGCTCACGACGGTTCTTGTGCGCCGAGCGTGGCGAGTTCGCAGGGCAGTCAAAGGCGTGGCCCTGCGGCGTCTTCTTCTACAAACGTTGGTGGTGGCTTTGTTTAGGTGGCTTGGCCCTTTTCAGTCCTTTACCAACAAGGTCAAGGAAGGATGGACGTCTGCCTTGGAGCAGGCCATGTGGGGCCGTCGTCCTCCCAGGGGACGATCAGCGTACTTGTCCTGGTGCGGGCTTTGCACTCCTGCTCTTCACCCGGAGTTCGTGCTCAACTTCGAGGCCGTCAAGCACCAGTACAACGCGCAGTCGAGAGGCAGGCGCTCGACTCCTACGAAGCGGTGGTCTCAGGTCGCCGTTGCGTGGGGGTGGCAGTGGCTGGACGGAGGCGACTGGCTGCTCACCAACGGCCAGCGAGTGCGTCCGGGCTGGACTTCTCTGGCTTGGGTGCGACACTGGGCGGAGGAGGCGTGGAGGCAATGGATGTGGAACAAGGACACCAAGACTGAGTATATCGGCTTGGCCAAGTACCCGGTCCAGCATTTCATGCCACATGCCGCGACAACTTGGGATGGTTACCACAACCGTGTCATGGCGGGAGCAGCAGTCGACGGTAGGATGCTGGCTGAGAAGCAAGTCCAATTTGTTTGCGAGTGTGGTGAGGAGGCCCCTAGCCGCCACCACTTGACTTTTCAGTGTCCCTACAGCACCATCGCCGACCCGGCTACGAGCTTGGAGCAGCGCCTTTTGCTTCGTTTGGACCAGCCTCCGAAGGCGGTGCAGTGGGAGGACGTTGCTGTCGACGACGACTTCGTGGAAGCGCTTCGGCGGCAAGGCGAGGAGGTGGTGGCTGGGGTGGACGGAGGTTGTCTCCAAAGTCCTGGCCAAGAGCTTTTTCAGAGAGCGTCGTGGGCGGTAGCTTTGCTTGATGGGCCAGCTTTCGGTGGTGGTGTGGCTTTTGGCGAGCACAGTGCTCCAGCTGGGGAGCGTGAGGGCTTTTACAGGCTTCTTTTGCATGCGAAAAGGGCGGGCACGAAGCGGCTGATAGTCTACTGTGACTGCAAGGCCATCATTGTCCGGCACAAGCGGGTCATGACTGGCCGACTGCACGGTTCAGCGGAAGCCATGTGGAGGAGGATGAAGGAGCTTTCGCCAGAGGACATCTGTCTGGTGTGGGTGCCTTCGCATGACAAGCGAGAGCAGTGGACGCCCGATGCTGGTCCTCTCACGGCATCGCAGGCGCGAGCTCTCAATGCAAGGGCGGACAGTGCAGCCACGCAAGCTCTTGCGGCTCACAAGGCGGAACACCAGGAGGGTCTGCAGAGGCGGGAGGCGGCGGTGGCTTGGAGTCGCAAGGCACTTGAGCTGCAAGTTGAGCGCACGCGAGACTTGCATACTCGATGGTGCCAGCTCGTGGCCGAAGAAGGCCGTGCGGCAGAGGTGGGGCGCCCGAGTTCGGGACGCGCGAATACTGAGGTCCCTGAGGCGGAGGCTGCAGCAGACCATGTCGGGGTGGACACAGCTGC